TCTCTCTCTCTCTCTCTCTCTCTCTCTCTCTCTCTCTCTCTCTCTCTCTCTCTCTCTCTCTCTCTCTCTCTCTCTCTCTCTCTCTCCCTCCCCCAAACTAAGTCCCTAACCTTGTTGAGGCGGCCGTTGGGGGGCGACAGCGGGGTCACGTGCGATGGCGGGCGTTGGAAGGTGCTGGCGGGGTGCGTTGAAGTTGTGCGTCGTGGCGGCGGACACACAGTGGTGCAAGGCAGGGAAGGGGGGACGTCGGGGCACATCTTCAGCATGGGGGAGGGAACGGGGGCCGGTAGTTCCCGCCCCCACCGATTTGAAATCGGTGCAATCTGGGCCGTCGATCTTCGAGATCGACAATCCAAATGGGGCCCGATTTCAAATCGGTGAAATCGGGCCTACCGGCCCCCTTTTTTTTTTTTCGCGGTCCACACGGTCTATGAAGGGGGCAAAAAGGGCCCCAGTGCCGAAAAAAAAAACAAAAAACTACCCTACAGTGATGCGCTGGGGGTGCCCGGTGGCCAACCGGGCGAGACAACCGGCCAGGCAGCCCGGCACCCCCCCCGGGCGACGGCCACGCCACCGGGCGGCCCGGGGACCAGCCTATCTGTGGGATTTCTGAAAATGAGAATTTTTCATTTACGGAATTGTATTCAAATTTCAAATCACCAGTCCGTACAAAGCCTCCTGATGTAGATTTTTCCTGTGCCCCAATTCCTCCCAAACAGGCGCAGTGTAGGATTTCCTTGGCCACACTGGCCTCTGGCATGCCGACCTGCAATTTTGCAGTGGGTTATTTCCCGTGCGAGGATCTCTGTCCTCAGCAGGCCCTTAAGGGGCCCCACAGCAAGCCTTGTGCCTGCCCTAAGTGAAGGCGGGCCTGCTCATCTCATCGAGGCGTAAATTTTGTCATTTTAAGGCCCTTGTGGGCGCCAGACGGTTACAACGCGCCAGTTTGTTACATGGGCCCTGCTTCCTAGCAAGCGTGACTTCGGGAGCCTTCTAGGCTCATCCAGGCTCTACATGGAAGGAGGCCTTTCGGCCAATCCCCTCGCAGAGAGCAGCTCAAGCAACTCTCCTAACTGCTTCGGTCCCAGGCCACTGGCTGAATTGGCCTGGGCACATGAGCCTTCTAGTCCAGGCCGATGTTGAGCCAGGACACTTTCCATATAGGAAATTGCTAACTTCGAAGTTTGAGTGAGGTGCTGTGTCAGACTAATTTGAAAATTTTCTTTCCTAGTAAATCAACCATTCCTTGGCATCTCTTAAACCCTCCACCTCTCCCATCAGCCGTACCATCCTTTGCAACCTGAAACCCACCTCCCCCTAAGACCTAGACCCGCCACTTTGCTGTTTGTATCGGTGTGTTCGTGCAGCGATATCCTGTCTCGGTGTTGGCCGGACATCCACAATCGCCTGGACAATCCAGATCACTGCCATGGTTTCCTGTGGGCCTATGGTAGAATTGTTTTTCAGCATTTTCTAGGCTATTGCTGTTCTTGTCAAAAATAAGCTCGATAGCACTGGGATGGCAAGGTAGGTGTGCGTAAACTCGAGCATTTTTTTCAAGGGTATTGCTAACCTTGAAGTTTGACTTTCAGCCCAGATACGGCGATAATTACCGGGCGTTCTATTGGGGTAAAGACAGTAGCGGAAGATGATTTTGCTTGAAAGAAGAACTGCAGGATCTGGAACATATGCGTCTGTCCCTGACCGTACCAAAAGTTGTCAAAAATTCAAATTACAAATGAGTCCATGCCCACACTCCCACAGACATATGTACCGATATGGAGGAACAATGGTACCGATCCCTGCGATTGATATTGCAGCAAGACTGAAGGTTCTTGCGGCAAAGACACTGTGCACGGTTTGCGCGTGTAATGTTGCAGCAACAAATTACAAATGAGTCCATACCCACTTGCACGTGGAAAATTCATATTGCGGCAACGAAGGAAGCGCCAAGGCCTGTTGCAATTATGTGTCGACACTGTAGAGTGTCAATGTGAGTTGCAAGATGCTTTGCATGCATGGAAGAGATGTAAAATGTTGAGGTGGTCACAAGATGCTTTGGAAGTTTGGATACAGATTGAGGAGAGGGTAAGTCCTGAGAGAGGCCAGAAGATGCATCGTGTGACACAAAGGTTGGGGAGGTGGGGGGGGGATGGGGGAGGGGGGAGAGTCTGAGTGATCCTGAAGATGCTTTGGACAGATATGACAGGTAGATGGGGAGTGTTGAGGAGGGCTGCAATAGGCTCTTCACAGAAGGGTTGTGGAGAGCGAGGGTTCTGTGGGGTCGTATGATGGTTTCCATCGAAGGGAAGACAGCGATTACTAAGTGGCATAGCAAAATGAGTTGGGTGGGGGAGAGTGCTGAGGGGGGCTGCAATAGGCTCTCCACAGAAAGGCTATGGAGAGCGAGGGTTCTGCGGGGTCGTATGATGGTTTCCATCCAAGTGGAGACGGCGATGACTGAGGGGCGTGGCAAAAATGAGTTGGGTGAGGGAGAGTGCTGAGGGGGGTTATGGGCGAAGTGGTGTTGAGGTTGTGGGCAGGGGGAGTGTGGAATGGGGGTCCAAGATGCTTCGCATGCGGGAGCAGGCGGGTTGTGGAGCAGGGAGGAGATGGGGAGCGTCAAGGGACTTCCAAGATGCTTTGCATGCAAGGGGGGAGAGGCACAGTGTCATACGGGCCATTGCATGTCGTCCCTTCAGGGTGCCAGAATAGGGAGTGTTGCATAGATGAAGAGAGAGAGAGGAGAGAGAGAGAAGAGAGAGAGAGAAGAGAGAGAGTCTGTTCAAATGTGGAACGGGGCTGCAAGATGCTTTGCATGCAAGAGTGGGCGTGTTGTGGATCAGGGAGAAGATGGGGAGCGTCAATGGGGGTTGCAGGCAGGGGGGAAGAGGCGCAGTGTTGTAGGGGCCATGGCATGCCATCCGTTCAGGGGGCCAGACCAGGTAGCGTTGCCCACAAACCTGCTGTGCATAGAGGTAGACAGAGAGAAAAGCAGAGAGAGTGTCTCTACTCACAGCGGGCATGAGGACACACTAATGTACACAAACACACACTTAAATCATGAATGTGCTCTCATGCTCACAGCATTTGGCGATATTCCCTCGTCACCAGCTCGTCAAGAGGTCAGTGAAGGTGTGCAGTATATACCTGCGCAACCCTTTCAACATGCAGCACCAATTCTGCTGCACCATACTAAAAAGAAGTATGAGTAGGCAGCATTCCACGCATGGTGCCTGGCCTTGATTTGAAATTTTGTTATTTTGGACCTTTTTTTTCATCTGCGCGCTGCGCAGATGGTTCTTGTAGAGAAAGGACTATTCTGCATGTGCTTCTGATGATTTAGGGCTAGCTTTGGGGAACAAGTGATTGGAACGTTGCTGTTAACACTTCTTTGCTGCACACTTCCACAACACCGTGAAAGGTAAATGAGAGCTTACTGAGAAGGACGATGCTTGGATTTTGTGAAACTCTTGAGTGTTCTGTGAAGAGCAGTTGAAGACTATCTTGTTCAGAATCTGATATTTGCTGAGTTGTTTTCAGATTGTTATGGAATCTGCGATCAATCGTGGCTGATTGGAAGGAAGGAGTAGAACCGGATATATTTGCAAGGAGGGCACGACGAGGAAACGAATCATTGGACCTTCTGCCACGTTCTGTAGCACCATCCCGCGCCCAGGTAATCCTCTGCTTAAACTTTCCACCGGGAGTCTGCAAATGAAAATGGGAACTATCTGGTAAAGGCATTGCCCTCCATCGCCTCTTCCTCCTTAACCACCTTCTCCTCTTGCGCATCCTGCGCCATCACCTCCTCCTCCTGAGAGACTGCCTTTTTCACCACCTTTACCTTAGTCACTACTGCCTCCAGCACTTCCTTTTTC